AGTGGGGGGAGAAGAGAGAAGGGGGAGAAATAGTGATAAAGGAATTTATTGATAAAGTTAGTAGACAAAATGTGTAGTACGTTTACTCTTGGTAATAAAGTTATTCCTAACAAAGTATATATAATAATAAAGTTATCCTTAACAAAGTATACAAAAGGTGTGGAAACTGTAGCTGTTAGTTTTACATTTGAAAACAAGATAGTTATCCCTAAAATTCTTGCGGCGGGTAGACCCGTTTTCTGTAAAAGACGATAACTATTTGTACGCGTTGAAATCACTGATGTTAAGGACTTGGTCAGTTGATAGTTGCAGTATTTCTAACTATATATACATTAGTATTGTAATCAAAGCACATAAAACGTGTGTGTGTGTGTGTGTGTGTGTGTGTGTGTGTGTGTGTGTGTGTGTGTGTGTGTGTGTGTGTGTGTGTGTGTGTGTGTGTGTGTGTGTGTGTGTGTGTGTGTGTGTGTGTGTGTGTGTGTGTGTGTGTGTGTGTGTGTGTGTGTGTGTGTGTGTGTGTGTGTGTGTGTGTGTGTGTGTGTGTGTGTGTGTGTGTGTGTGTGTGTGTGTGTGTGTGTGTGTGTGTGTGTGTGTGTGTGTGTGTGTGTGTGTGTGTGTGTGTGTGTGTGTGTGTGTGTGTGTGTGTGTGTGTGTGTGTGTGTGTGTGTGTGTGTGTGTGTGTGTGTGTGTGTGTGTGTGTGTGTGTGTGTGTGTGTGTGTGTGTGTGTGTGTGTGTGTGTGTGTGTGTGTGTGTGTGTGTGTGTGTGTGTGTGTGTGTGTGTGTGTGTGTGTGTGTGTGTGTGTGTGTGTGTGTGTGTGTGTGTGTGTGTGTGTGTGTGTGTGTGTGTGTGTGTGTGTGTGTGTGTGTGTGTGTGTGTGTGTGTGTGTGTGTGTGTGTGTGTGTGTGTGTGTGTGTGTGTGTGTGTGTGTGTGTGTGTGTGTGTGTGTGTGTGTGTGTGTGTGTGTGTGTGTGTGTGTGTGTGTGTGTGTGTGTGTGTGTGTGTGTGTGTGTGTGTGTGTGTGTGTGTGTGTGTGTGTGTGTGTGTGTGTGTGTGTGTGTGTGTGTGTGTGTGTGTGTGTGTGTGTGTGTGTGTGTGTGTGTGTGTGTGTGTGTGTGTGTGTGTGTGTGTGTGTGTGTGTGTGTGTGTGTGTGTGTGTGTGTGTGTGTGTGTGTGTGTGTGTGTGTGTGTGTGTGTGTGTGTGTGTGTGTGTGTGTGTGTGTGTGTGTGTGTGTGTGTGTGTGTGTGTGTGTGTGTGTGTGTGTGTGTGTGTGTGTGTGTGTGTGTGTGTGTGTGTGTGTGTGTGTGTGTGTGTGTGTGTGTGTGTGTGTGTGTGTGTGTGTGTGTGTGTGTGTGTGTGTGTGTGTGTGTGTGTGTGTGTGTGTGTGTGTGTGTGTGTGTGTGTGTGTGTGTGTGTGTGTGTGTGTGTGTGTGTGTGTGTGTGTGTGTGTGTGTGTGTGTGTGTGTGTGTGTGTGTGTGTGTGTGTGTGTGTGTGTGTGTGTGTGTGTGTGTGTGTGTGTGTGTGTGTGTGTGTGTGTGTGTGTGTGTGTGTGTGTGTGTGTGTGTGTGTGTGTGTGTGTGTGTGTGTGTGTGTGTGTGTGTGTGTGTGTGTGTGTGTGTGTGTGTGTGTGTGTGTGTGTGTGTGTGTGTGTGTGTGTGTGTGTGTGTGTGTGTGTGTGTGTGTGTGTGTGTGTGTGTGTGTGTGTGTGTGTGTGTGTGTGTGTGTGTGTGTGTGTGTGTGTGTGTGTGTGTGTGTGTGTGTGTGTGTGTGTGTGTGTGTGTGTGTGTGTGTGTGTGTGTGTGTGTGTGTGTGTGTGTGTGTGTGTGTGTGTGTGTGTGTGTGTGTGTGTGTGTGTGTGTGTGTGTGTGTGTGTGTGTGTGTGTGTGTGTGTGTGTGTGTGTGTGTGTGTGTGTGTGTGTGTGTGTGTGTGTGTGTGTGTGTGTGTGTGTGTGTGTGTGTGTGTGTGTGTGTGTGTGTGTGTGTGTGTGTGTGTGTGTGTGTGTGTGTGTGTGTGTGTGTGTGTGTGTGTGTGTGTGTGTGTGTGTGTGTGTGTGTGTGTGTGTGTGTGTGTGTGTGTGTGTGTGTGTGTGTGTGTGTGTGTGTGTGTGTGTGTGTGTGTGTGTGTGTGTGTGTGTGTGTGTGTGTGTGTGTGTGTGTGTGTGTGTGTGTGTGTGTGTGTGTGTGTGTGTGTGTGTGTGTGTGTGTGTGTGTGTGTGTGTGTGTGTGTGTGTGTGTGTGTGTGTGTGTGTGTGTGTGTGTGTGTGTGTGTGTGTGTGTGTGTGTGTGTGTGTGTGTGTGTGTGTGTGTGTGTGTGTGTGTGTGTGTGTGTGTGTGTGTGTGTGTGTGTGTGTGTGTGTGTGTGTGTGTGTGTGTGTGTGTGTGTGTGTGTGTGTGTGTGTGTGTGTGTGTGTGTGTGTGTGTGTGTGTGTGTGTGTGTGTGTGTGTGTGTGTGTGTGTGTGTGTGTGTGTGTGTGTGTGTGTGTGTGTGTGTGTGTGTGTGTGTGTGTGTGTGTGTGTGTGTGTGTGTGTGTGTGTGTGTGTGTGTGTGTGTGTGTGTGTGTGTGTGTGTGTGTGTGTGTGTGTGTGTGTGTGTGTGTGTGTGTGTGTGTGTGTGTGTGTGTGTGTGTGTGTGTGTGTGTGTGTGTGTGTGTGTGTGTGTGTGTGTGTGTGTGTGTGTGTGTGTGTGTGTGTGTGTGTGTGTGTGTGTGTGTGTGTGTGTGTGTGTGTGTGTGTGTGTGTGTGTGTGTGTGTGTGTGTGTGTGTGTGTGTGTGTGTGTGTGTGTGTGTGTGTGTGTGTGTGTGTGTGTGTGTGTGTGTGTGTGTGTGTGTGTGTGTGTGTGTGTGTGTGTGTGTGTGTGTGTGTGTGTGTGTGTGTGTGTGTGTGTGTGTGTGTGTGTGTGTGTGTGTGTGTGTGTGTGTGTGTGTGTGTGTGTGTGTGTGTGTGTGTGTGTGTGTGTGTGTGTGTGTGTGTGTGTGTGTGTGTGTGTGTGTGTGTGTGTGTGTGTGTGTGTGTGTGTGTGTGTGTGTGTGTGTGTGTGTGTGTGTGTGTGTGTGTGTGTGTGTGTGTGTGTGTGTGTGTGTGTGTGTGTGTTATCCAGTGATTTAGAGGCATTTTGAAACGCTGTCCTGTTAGATTCAAATGACCTGTGAAAACCACTGTGAGTGTTTATGATCAGAATGAGGAAGACTTGTGAAATAAGTTATTTTAAGTGAGAAACGCCCTATCCCAGAAGTGCATTTCGGAGAAAAGGGCAGGTCGGATGTTTTTGAGCGAAGGAAAAAATATCGTCTTTGGCGCCTGCGTTACGACGTCGCTCGTTCGTTTGCATATTGCGAACCCTCAGTATCAAAGCTTGCGATGTTACAAAGTTATAACACGCTGTCTTGGGTGTTGGAGCGGTAAATCTTGAATTAGTAGACAGGTGTGAAGATGTGCGCGCGGACGGAGGAGGGAGGAAGGTGGCTCAAGTAATCGTCTGTCCTTGATGACTCCGTCGCTGTCGGATCCTGTCAGGACACCAGGATACGGCAGCGCGATGCGTTATGATGGAGAGAGAGAGAGAGAGAGAGAGAGAGAGAGAGAGAGAGAGAGAGAGAGAGAGAGAGAGAGAGAGAGAGAGAGAGAGAGAGAGAGAGAGAGAGACAGACAGACAGACAGACATACAGACAGAAACACAGACAGTTAGAGAGGATTGAAACAGACAGATAGACAGAGAAAAACAAACAGTCAGAGAAGGAGAGACAGCAAAACACAGACAGTCAGAGAAGGTAAAACAGGCAGACATTCAGAAACAAAAGGAAATCATCTATCCTTTAAAATACCCTAGAAATCTTTGGTCCGCAAATATAGGCCTACAAAACTTAATCGATAGAATTACAAGACAACAACAAATCCCATTACCAGATACGTGCTTTGCCCCGATGGGCAGTGTGTGGGCAGGAATATGGGCGGGGATTTGGGGGTGTGGCCAAGCTCCTCAGGTCACCTCACTTTAATGTTAGTGGTGGGTAAATCTGATTTTAAAATGAGTTGACGTGTGTGTGTGTGTGTGTGTGTGTGTGTGTGTGTGTGTGTGTGTGTGTGTGTGTGTGTGTGTGTGTGTGTGTGTGTGTGTGTGTGTGTCTTGACATGTTTGAACTCGTAATATAATTTTGTGATTTTCTTATCATGCCTCAAAGCCCAATAACCCGAAGACCAAATAACGCTGAAGGGTGAGGAATTGTGACTGTCGAATTTGCTTAACATATACTGAATGTGAATATTCCCACGTAATATGTATTATTTTACATAACACGGGTACTGTCATCTGGGAACTGATTTTTTAGGTGATTGTTCTCTAATCACAACTGACAATGCAGTGAAAAAATCTTGTCATATAACGTTACCTAAGTTTTGAAGAAAAAAAAAACCTTAGACGGCTAGACTTATTATATAAAGGCTATTCATCCACGAATTTAAAAATCGTAAATGTTACTTAAATATCGAAAAAAGGTATTCTTGTTCGTGCAAAAAAATACAGATAAATCGACTTGTGCTGAAAGAAAACATGAGAGCGCACCCATTGGCACTCTCGGTTGGCATCTGGTCTTGACACCCTTAGCGTGATTGACCTTAACACTCCGCGACCTCGTTTGTGTGTGCCGAGGCTCCTGCCGGAAACCCATCATTTCTCATCTTTGTTTGTTACGCAGGGGAACTTGAGTGCTTTGTATAGACGCAAATTACGCCTATTCGGATATTATAGAATCACAATAGGAAAAAAATAAAGATACTGGAGCGCAGACGGTGTTCCCAGGAGCGGCGGCGAGGGAGAAGGAAGTGAAGCCAAGCCAGGCGTGAGAGGTAAAAAGGAAACGCAGGACGGAAACGGAGGAAAGATGGCGCGGAAACTACAAAAGTTCATAATCCTCTTCGACAACCCGAACCTGTTGTATTTCCCCGGGCACTTCATCTCCGGGAGAGTCATCGTGGAATTAGAGGAAGACACGTCTGTTTTAGGTGAGTTGCAGAGCTCGTAGGCCTATGGGTATGGAATGAAACAGTGGCGTTTCGAGTAACACCGGTTTCCTCTTCAGACGGTAAAATGGAAGTGGTAACGTGATCAGTTTCTGTGTAATCGTTTGAAGAGGAGATTAATATGACTCGAAATGTGGTGGTTGAGGTTTTCCTTTCCTAGTGAGCCTATTTTTATATACATTGCTGATAATGTGTGTCTGTTGTTTATTGTATTACATTTTTGTATATGATATCTTTTCTGTGTAATGCCTCATAGACATTTTATTTATTTAATTTTATTTATCAATTCTTTCATTAGCCATCTATCTTATTTTTTTCTTTTTTCTATTTTTTCTATTTGTTGATAGTCTTCAAGAACCTCATTACCTTTTATATATTCTGCATAGTTTGATTTTATCATGATGATAATATCACCCTATTGTTTGCTATTGTATATTCTCGTGGTTTTCCCTTGAACTCTATTCTGAAAGCAATATTATATCTTTTTGGCTTCCTAAAAAAATGTAACGGATTTCGCAAAGCAAACATTTACCAATAGAATTAGTTAAGCTGCTATTTAGAGACACTAAATTTACTGCCAGTTGTTGGATGTAGTTTGCCCTTATTAGGTAGCACCTCAGCCTACTTTCTTAGAATGTATCTTATAAATAACGAAAAATTTGTAGGCTTCATGAGTGTACGCTGAACTTTCCTCCAAAACCAAAAGTTTCATTGACCTCCCAGAAACATTTCAAACAATACTTTTACGTAGGCCTAATTGGCACAGCATTGTAGACTTCCCAGAAGTCCGTAATGAATACAAAGGAGAGGAAGTGTCACCTATTCGTGGCAGGGGATTCTTTAGGTAGCAGAGCCTCTGGTCGCGTGTGAGGTGATGGGCAGGTGAGTTTCTCGCCGGGGGTTTGTCCAGTGCGTTATCTGGATTCGAGATCAGCGTCCTAAATGCCACGACAGTCAGCCAGCCAGCCCGCTAAATATAACTCGGGAGATGTGGGTGCAGCAGGTGACTGTGGGACGTGACTCTCCACACTCTGGCTTCGGTAAATGTTGTTTGACCATTCTGTTTAGCCTCCACCTTGAAACTCCTTTTGTATGTTCTTTTTTGTTGCTTGTTGGAATTCATTTGTTCAAGCATGGATAGGGACTTGTAATCAGTCACGCACCTCATAAAGTTTTGAAATATCGATCACTTAACCGTTGTAAATTTTACTAGTATTTTTGTTTAACTTAAGATTAGCTTATATATATTAAGTTTAATGCAACATCAAAATTAAGAACGTTATTGAATCTTGGAAAATGAACAAGATCCCAAAAATAAGAGGAAAACTTGTTAAATAGATATGAAAGAAAATGTAACTAAATTCTAAGGACGTTTGTCTGAAAACTCTCGCGTGAATCCAAATCAATGCCATTATTTATACGAAATTAAGCTATGTAATACCATAGATGAAATATGAAAAGATTGCCAGATACCATTGAAAGCCTTTACCTACGTCTCAATACTCGTTTAACTTCGCATCCGGTGTTACCACAGAGCACATGCTTGTCATAGCGCTTCACCATCACACTATGTATGTACGAACGGTCATCATTATTGACACCATCATTATTCAGTCTTTCGTTCGAGCGTGACCGTTGCTACCTCTGTTATTATATAAGACTGGCGCAACTTAAGGTGTTTAGTTGAAATGATAGGAACCGCTAGTTTCGCCAGACAGCTTCATCAAAAAAGAGGAAGGGGATGGTGCAGCTTCAGCAAAGCTGAGAGGAAGGGGTCAGGGCAGGTTCATCAAAGGAGAGAGGAAAGGCAGCTTCATCAAAGAAATAAAGGAAGGGGTCAGGGCGTGGCATCAGAACTTCATCCAAGGTGCAAAGGAAGAGGTCGCGGCGCCACACAAGGGGCTCTGGAAAGGGTTCGCAGAGGGTCAAAAGGAGGCGCCGCCCAGACGTGACTAGCTGGCTGCAGTGCGAGCAAACAACACCTGATCAGAAACATATGACGAACTGGCTGTGCAATGACTTCAGAGCATAGATATAAACGCTTTGTTATTGGTCTTTTGTGAAATGAGTCTGCAAAATGGTTTGGGTAATGGAATTTACAGTCAGGCGCCGAAGAGGCTTAAAGGATTATGAATGTTAAGCAAAGCTGGGTCATTGAACTAGGTATAAAAGATACAGAATATCTTTTATACCTAGTCGACATGAGTGTTTCGTACGAGGGATTATTGTATTCTTGGAAGAGTTATGGACCGACTCCAGGATAAAAAAGCTCTTGTATAAATGAGTTTATTGTATGAGGAAGTGAAGGAAACCCCTTCTGTTGGTTCGCAAAAAATAAATCGACTGACGAAGAAGCCAGGCCATTACAAGCTTATACGACAATCACGTGACATTTCTCATGACCCTAGGAGAACCAAGACCACTTTAGGATCCTTTGTCATGCACACACAGCCTACCTACACCTCATGTTTTGTTACTGCAGTATGTTACAGATTGTTATATTTAAATTATTTAGGCCTATTTGTGATTTTTTAAAGCAAATTTTCAGAATACACTGAAGAACATTTCACTGCCATTTACCTCTCGATCCAGCATTTTCTCTCCTGTGCGACGAGTGAAAACCTGCGGTCACCAGCAACCGCCAGGCACTTTGCCGATCGCCTTCGCTTCAGCCGTTCTTCCTTGGCGGTAAATTTGCGGCGGTCCAAGCGTGGCATTAGGAAGACGGATGGCATCTCGCGTGGCCACCAAGGCGTTAAAGGGGCGTACTGGGGGAGACGCGGAAGGGGAAGGCGTGGGCAGGGGAAGCGACAGAGGGGGAGGGCGACTACAACGGCCTTTCCGGGAATCGCGGGGCGGGTCTCTCTTTGTCTGGCTCCCGCACCGCCCTCTTTCCCTCGCCCTCGCTTGCCCTCCGGAGACTCCTCTATGCATAACTGATGCGTTGGTTTGGCCATATGTATGAATGCATGTATGTATATGTGTGTGTATGTATGTATGTATATATATGTGCATATGTTTATGTGTATGCATGTAAATATGTTTATATACAATCGTAACTATATATAAGTATCTGCCTATCCATCTAGCTGCATTTCCAATTATCTCTCTGTCTGCCTATCTGTCAATCAATCAATCAACTTATCCACACACACACACAAACATTCACTCACTCACTCACTCACTCACTCACTCACTCGCTCACTCGCTCACTCACTCACTCACTCACTCGCTCACTCACTCACTCACTCACTCACTCACTCACTCACTCACTCACTCACTCACTCACTCACCCACCCACCCACCCACTCACTCACCCACTCATTCACTCACATGCAGACAGACATAAATATGAACTAACCAGACGTCCAGTCTAGGCACATCTAACCAAATAGAAGTGAATCTTGCTAAACGTCTTCGCGAATGTCCCCTCCGTAAGTGCTTGGGGGTTGCTGTGTTGTGGACAGGAAGGCAGTCCATCGCGGAGTACTTTCCCCTCTGTTGCGTCTGTGTGGTGGATGAGGGACCGCAGGAGAACCATATGGAGCGTGAAAGGTGGCACTCGCTCGCCCCTTTCGAAGGGGTTGTAGGTTTCGGAGGTTGCAACAATCTTGCTCGTTTACTAGCATGGTTATGGTTATTGTTATTTTTTCAGAATTGATTTTTGGGCTTATGTTATTTTTCCCTTGTTCTTTGTTCCTTTCTTTGGTCTTTTCTGTTCTTTCTGTTCAGAGTTAGTGCCCAAGAATTACAAGTGTGTATTGTCTCTAATGTAGTTTCCTTGTGCACCTCTGAGTGGGCCCCGAGGCAATGTTATTAACAGCAAACATGCCCGCGCAGTATTCTTTCACGAGGCATAATTAGAGAAAGGTAAATGTCAGCATGAAGCAACCCCCTCGTGTCATTAGGTGCATGAAAAGATCGCCGGCCGCCATGCAATACGAAGCAATTACACTGCAATCGCGAGAGGAGTTAACGGTTATCGCCGTGACCAAAAATGGAGCCCAAGCAAATGGATCGCTGTCAGAGGAGTGGACGACCTAACAGTCTATATATATATATATATATATATATATATATATATATATATATATATATATATATATATATATATATATATATATATATATATATATATATATATATATATATATATATATATATATATATATATATATATATATATATATATATATATATATATATATATATATATATATATATATATATATATATATATATATATATATATATATATATATATATATATATATATATATATATATATATATATATATATATATATATATATATATATATATATATATATATATATATATATATATATATATATATATATATATATATATATATATATATATATATATATATATATATATATATATATATATATATATATATATATATATATATATATATATATATATATATATATATATATATATATATATATATATATATATATATATATATATATATATATATATATATATATATATATATATATATATATATATATATATATATATATATATATATATATATATATATATATATATATATATATATATATATATATATATATATATATATATATATATATATATATATATATATATATATATATATATATATATATATATATATATATATATATATATATATATATATATATATATATATATATATATATATATATATATATATATATATATATATATATATATATATATATATATATATATATATATATATATATATATATATATATATATATATATATATATATATATATATATATATATATATATATATATATATATATATATATATATATATATATATATATATATATATATATATATATATATATATATATATATATATATATATATATATATATATATATATATATATATATATATATATATATATATATATATATATATATATATATATAT